CTGAGCAGCTTACGACCTTATAATTAATATCAGCGCACTTTCCGATAGATTTGGAAAAATTAATTTTCGACCCAATTTTCGCATTTTTGATAAGGGGTACCATCATGATTTTTTTCGAAAAATTACAAAATTTAAAAAGTTCCAGGTTTGAATGCCAATCGATTGGGGATTTAATAACGAGCTCAACGAGGTATGACATTCCGTAGTTGGACCATATTTGGGAACATTTCGGCTAAAAAACTGATTTATTGGGCGGGAAAAATGTTCTGTTTTTCATAAATAACGAAATTGATTTCTGAATTCTGAAAACCAGTATTTATAGAATTATAAATTTTAAGATTCAACAGTATTAATCAGTATTGAATAATATTAATAATATAATACGGCCATTTTGAAACCACTTCCTGTGCACTGCTTTCTGATAAACGAAAAGAGTTGCATACTTAAGGGGGCGGTTTAGCAATGGAAAACATTAACAAACTAGAACTTGGAAATATCTATAGATAAAATAAACTTCACTGCCAGTCAATCATTTGCATTCGTAGGTGCGTGCATATCCCCTGCGGTCCCGTCCATTTACAGGGTATGGACGCCAAGTTGCGACACAGTTTCCACCGCTGTGCCGACATCCTTGCCACCTCCGCTTTCGCTTGGCTGGCGGTGAAAGGCGAGAAAGTGTGCCAAGAAGCGAGTAACAAGAGACAGTCAAACAAAACTGTGACACAGGAGCTGGGGCGGGGGGCGTGGCAGTGGGGCAGTGGGTAAGCAGGTCTCAAAGGACTTGCTGCACTTAAAGCATCGCGGTGGCCATTAAAAATTATATGCAATAAGCAGCAGCGACGGCGAACAAACAGCAAATAATGAAATTATAATTAAAGCCAAGCCAGAGAGCCAGAGAGGCGGGGCGAAATAAGACCATCAAGTGCACAAAATGAAGCGACCACAAAATGCAGACAACGAATTCAATTACCTTCCAGGATCCTGGATCCAGGATCCTGTGGACGAGGTAGTGGGCGTGGCGTAATGAAGAAATTATGAAGTGCATTAAAGCGCAGAAAGAGGCAAATGGGCAAACACAAAAAGCCAGGGCCAAGAGGACGAAGTAAGATGAATACACTGATTGAGCTGCCCCGAGGATAAGGCAGCAGAAAAAATGGAGGGGTAAAAGCAAAGGACAGGACAATAAAATGCAGCCAGCGGCACTGAGAGCAAAAAAAGCGAGGGAAAAACAACGAAAACAGCGAGCAAACATTGGGGGAAATCCGCAGGAGGAGCAGAAGGAGGAGGACGAGGATGAAGAGGTGGCCAACCGACGGCGGAGTGGAGTAAGCCAATTACCAAAGCCAAAACGAGCAGCGGCTTCAATTTATTTTCATCTTACCCATACACACAATAATTGTTTCTGTCTTACTTCTATACCCTTCAAGAAGTTACTTATATGTCGGTAAAAGATTTGAAAAAAAATAACAAAAATATTTAATAGTTATGTCAACTAGTTTTAGAGCTAATAAAAAATAAATAAAACCCTATTCCTCTTTTAAAATGATCGAAATAAAATTGTAATAATTTATAATTAAAAAGAATTATTATAATAATTAAGAGTCATATCAAAAGTTTTCCATATAAAACTTTGTATTTACCTTTCAAAATTAACTAAAAACTACAAATTAATTATATTTTAGACTTGTGTTGTTAGGTATTTAAAAACAATCTACTTGTGTTTTTTTTTGCTTAGGAATTTGAAGCAATAATTATTTTTATAGAGAGAGTAACGCAAGTTCCATGCACTCCACACATTAATATATATTTTTTGCCTGATTGCAACTTTGCTCTCCCTCGTTTGAGTCGGTATATTTTTAGCCTTGCCAGGACACTCAGAGCTCTGCTCCCCTTTTGGGACCTCCTGATCTCCCTCGTGGCCCCCGGGGCCTCTCTCCCCCCTTCCATCCAGCCCTCTTGTAATTAATTGAAATGCCTGTCGCGGCCAAGGCTTCACAACGAAGGCAGCTCAACGTCCTTGACTTTGGGGGCCCGAGGCTCGAGTGTGGAGCCAAAGAACGGCGGAGAACTCAATTGAAAAGCTGAAAAACTTGAGATACATTCGAGTGGTCAAGTACTCGAATTAATGTTACTCTGTCTATCTGTTACTAATTGTTATTAAATGGAGCTTTAAACTTTAAATATATTTATGTAATTGTATGTAATTTGTTGTTTCAGAGATATATTACACGATTTATCCAATTATTTACTTTTTTGCCCACAAATTTACTTGCAAACGACCACCGCCAACAAATTTCCACCGCCACTAAAACAAATTTATATTCAATTTGCGCGCGTTTTAAACTCAATTAAAGTTTTAGGCTCTAAATAACGTTTAAATGCCATGTCATTTGATAACATAAGCCAGCGATTTGTCGCGTGGAGTGAGGAATAATGGAATGAAGTGCGGAAAGTTGGGTGGACTTTGGGTTGCTTATATTTTGGGCCTTGGGTTTCGCAGGCAGCCAATTTGTCATTCATCAAACTTTTTCAATAAAACTTTTGCGCCGCTCCTCATCGCTGGCCAAGCTGCAAATCCGTCGTCGCCCATTGCGAAAGCCGAAAAAGCTTTCTCCCGGTTGGAGAAAGTGGAGAAAGTCAAGTGTGGGAGTGTGCGAGTGAAATGCAAAGTTCCTGCAGCCGAACGAACGCCCGTCCAATTTCACTCGAGAGTTTCGATTTCGATTTCCAGTCGCCGTTGTTGTCTACTGTCATTGTCAACAGTTGCCCATGGCCCATGGCCATGCCCCCTGATCCACTGTCCCAACTTCCACCAAAATCCACCTCCTACACAGCAAACTAATTATTTATTTTATTATTTAGTTTTAAAAAATATTTATATATTTATAAATATTTCCTGGAGATAAATTTTTCATTTAAATAAATCAGAAAGATAAAAATTAATTTTTAAATCCCATTTTTGATAATTATTTTTTATTTCTATTAAGTTTTATATTGTATGAAATATTAATCATTTTAATTTAAATAAATGGAAAAACGCACCCAGCACTTTCGCTCTGTGTACAGCATTCAATTCGAAGTACTGACAAACAAATATTATATTGTGTTCCATATCGATTTCCTCTTTAGCCGCTCCTGCATTCAATTTTCAGGATGAGCCATGCAACTTTTATGTTGAGCTCATCATTTTTCCAACTGCTCCGGGAAAAGGGGCGGGAAATTGGGCGGGAAAATCGGATGGGAAAAATACTGAGTACTGAATACTGAATACCGAATGGCAGGGAACTAAGCGGAACAGACAAAAACAAGTTGGAGCACGGATGAGAACAAGAACGAGAAGAAGCTGGGCGAAATTGACAAAAGAAGCTGCTCGAAGGACTCGATGGCTGAGTGAACTTCCAAGGAGCAAGGGTTCGGCTTCGGGTCGCATAGCTGAGCCGTAAACAATCAATGCAATCTCAAGTTGGGTGGCACGAACTGCCGGAGCTCCATCAATTTCCATAATTAATCATGCAAGACACGGCGCACACAAAAGGGTTAAGCGCCGGCTTTCGGTGTCCTTCAGATTAAATCAAATCAAATCGAATCGAATTGAAAAGTAACAATGCAAGAGCAACCGAAAAAACCTTTGATGGATTATATGTATCTGATCTAGAAGCCAAGGGATTTGGTTTTTTTTTCTAAATAATTTTTAACATTTTTAGGTTTGGTAAACCAAAAGCTGTCAACACTGCGTATGAGTAATGTGTTTATTAAGCATACGCCGTGTTGTCTCTTGTTCAAAAACTTGTTTACAATTTTAATAATTTAATTTAGGTCATCAGAAATATCTGACTCCTTTTGGAGTGCGAAAATCTAAAAATAAATTTTCTTAGGTGCTAAAATACTTGTAAATCAAATTCCAACCACAAACACACAAAAAAGGCCAAGCAATTTCCAACTTTAAGGGCAGCCCAAAAAAAAAGGGAAAAATAACCCCCCCCACCAACGCCTAATAGATTTTCTATAGAAAATCCATTCAAGGCTGTTGCGATGATTTTCCGCCCGCAAAAAAGCTAAAAAAAAAAGTTCGCCATGCATAAATTTCGACCAGGCGACAAAAACAGCCGCGGAACCGCAAGCGCGTTTTACGAGCGTTTTTTCTCGCCTGCCAACCTCAAGATGCGCAAAAAATATCTGCAACGCGGCCAGCGGCCAACGGCTGTGGATGTGGATGGGGATGGAGATTCATGGCCATGAATTGACCCAAACTGAAAATGGTTAGCACGTTTTGGCAGGGGTTAGTCATGGCCAGCGGCGAAACAAACGGGTTAAAGGCGGCGCGGGCAGGGAATAAGGGTTAAGGGGGCTCCGATGGCTTCGAGGGGTTAACGGGGTGCAAAAGTATAGACACTGCCGCTTACGCTTCGTAATACAGCCCCAGGCAACCAGCAGAGTTTTCACGGCTACACAAAAACAAAAAACAGAATTGAAAAAGAAAAGAAAAATATTTATAGAGTACACGTAAAAAAGAATAAATCAATGACAGGCGAGAAACGGTGAAAAAAAGTGAAAAAGAGTGCGGGTGATTATTTTGCTGCACTAATGAACAAAAAAACTAAACTCCAAAGTGAACTTAAGGGAAAAAACTGACTGAAAAAAAAGGATTTTGAATACTTATCAAGCCAATTGCCGTTTTTTTCTTATTGTTATTTTAGCTTTTTTCTTATATTTATTCTGTTTAATTTTTTAGAAAATTAATAAATTACTTGGAACTAATGAAGCTTCCCAAATTATTAACTACATATTCTATCAACGATAATTTTTATAACAAATATCAAAAGATACACAAAAGATTTCCCAAGTAATCATTATTTAATCATCATTTTAAACTTACTAAACAATATTTTGAGGGAAAATACCTCATAGATGGACAGAACCTCCCCAATGGAAATAAAAATGTAATGAAATGCCCCAGCGTATCCAGTTGATCCCTGAGCCCCTGTTCCCCCCTGGCTTACCGTTCTGGGTGGTGCTGCCCTGGAAGAGGTTCCGCAGATAGGTGATGAGCCGCCGGTGGAGCGGTCGATGGCGATGCCGCGACGACTTGCGGTGCGAGGAGGAGGACTCCTGGCCGCCTCCTCCGCCGCCCTGCTCCACATCCTCCATGTCCAAGGTGGAGGAGGCGATGGCGGCTGCTCCGCCACCTGATCCACTGGCCACCAGCTCCTTGCCGCACTGACTGGCGTCCACGATGATCTCGATGCTGCGCTGCGTGCTGGACTTTTTGATACCCAGTGCCGCCGTGGAGCAGCTGCTGCCAGAGGGGCCTCCTCCACCGCCGCCTCCTCCGCTTCCTCCGCCGCCTCCTCCACCGCCGATTATAAGGGCATCCGTGACACTCGAACCCGTGCCGGCAATGCTGCTCACCGTCTGGTGATGATGACCCTGGCTCAATCCCTGATCCCTTCCGATCTGCTGGGCCCCCCGGGCGGTGAGCAAGTGGTGCTGGGCGGTGGAGGGCAGCTCGTTGACGGTGCCATTGCTGTGGCTGCCGCGGTAGATCAGCTCCGTTTCGTTGCTCACCTGGCGCAGGGCATGCAGGCCAGTATGCGATGCACTGCTAGTTAATCCAGCCGAGGATCCGCCTCCTCCACCAGAACCATTCGATCCATTGAGACCCGTGTAGTAGGCGCTATTGGGTCGCTGGCTGTGCTGCACCTGCGGCCCGGCCATCTCGTTTCTCTCAGTGTTTTATTCCTTTTGCGGCGGCTAGTTCCTCCTCCTCCTCCTCCTCAGTCTCCTGATCCTCCTCCCGATCCTCTCTAGACGTCTGACTTTAATCGCTAGCTGGTTTTAGTGGTTTTAGTGGCATGGCGGGCATTTACATGTTTACGTTTGCGGCGGTGACTTTGTTAGGCGGACTTTGTTAGGGGTTAAGCGTGGCGACATCTGCGGGAAGCGAAGGGGAAATCAAGCAAAAGATATTATAGTTCAGAGATACCAAAGCATTCGTTTCTCTACCGATCAAAGCTATATTTATTTTATATAGAAAAATTAAGTTTAATCAATTTTTGAAAAATTGATCCAATTTTATTTAGAAACTAAGAATTTATGCCCTTAATTCAAACATTTAGTAAAACAATTATAATAGAATTTATTGATATATTTAATGACCAAATTAAATTACATTTTATCTATTTATCTTAAAATTAAAGTCAATTCACATAATTCAAAATAATGGAAAATTACATTACAAAATTTTACATTGTTTTACTATTTTGAAATTTTAATTTTGTTTTATACTTTTTTTTTAAGTTTTTAAATCAAACAAAAACAATATTTAAATTACTATTATGGTTTTTATAAATGCACAATAAAGCCAAATTTGATCGGGATAGAATACAAGTAACAAAGAAAACTATTTCCAGGAACTTTACAAAATTTCAGCAGCGATGCATGTGTGTGTGTGTGTGTTAGTGCGCGTACACGAGTCTGTGTATGTGTGTGTGTTTGCGTGTGAGTATTATTGAGCTCTTGTAAGCGGCTTTGTTATCCGATTTTAATCCTATTTACTAGTTGATACTGAAAACTAGACAGTTGCCTTCTCACTAAACTGTGGCAAGCTAAAATGCCTTGTAAACGTTTTAAGATGCCAAGGAATATTTGATTCTAATCGCCCATTAGTGCAGCAATTTACACTTTCAAATTATTATGTTAAACATTTTTATCCCCACTTTATATTTGATTGAATAATTGATACTTGAATACTGGTATTTTAAGGTGAAAACTATGGATGGATAACTATGGACAGGTTGAAATGCCAATCGATTGCGAATTTAATTACGAGCTCAAAAAGGTATGCCATTCCGTTTTAGGACCATTATTTCCATTGTTCTGGCAAAAATACTGCTTGTTTTTGGGGGAAAAAATTAGGATCTTGGTTTTTGGTAAAAATGTGATTTTTTTGTTCTAGATATTTTGCTGTAACTTGGTCAAAAATGGTCCCACATCAAAAAGACGCACTGTTTTGAGCAGCTTACGACCTTATAATTAATATCAGTGCACTTTCCGACTGATTTAGGAAAATTAAATTTCGACCCAATTTTCGGTATTTTGATAAGGGGTACCATCATGATTTTTTGCGAAAAATGGAAAAAATAAAAAATTTCCAGGTTGAAATGCCAATCGATTGCGAATTTAATTACGAGCTCAAAAAGGTATGACATTCCGTTCTAGGACCATTATTTCCATTGTTCTGGCCAAAATACTGATTGTTTTTGGAGCACAAAATCAGGATCTTGATTTTTGGTAAAAATGTGATTTTTTTGTTCTAGATATTTTGCTGTAACTTGGTCAAAAATGGTCCCACATCAAAAAGACGCACTGTTTTGAGCAGCTTACGACCTTATAATTAATATCAGTGCACTTTCCGACTGATTTGGAAAAATTAATTTTTGACCAAATTTTCGCAATTTTGATAAGGGGTACCATCATGATTTTTTGCGAAAAATGGAAAAAATAAAAAATTTCCAGGTTGAAATGCCAATCGATTGCGAATTTAATTACGAGCTCAAAAAGGTATGACATTCCGTTCTAGGACCATTATTTCCATTGTTCTGGCCAAAATACTGCTTGTTTTTGGGGCAAAAAATTAGGATCTTGGTTTTTGGTAAAAATGTGATTTTTTTGTTTTAGATATTTTGCTGTAACTTGGTCAAAAATGGTCCCACATCAAAAAGACGCACTGTTTTGAGCAGCTTACGACCTTATAATTAATATCAGTGCACTTTCCGACTGATTTAGAAAAATTAATTTTTGACCAAATTTTCGCAATTTTGATAAGGGGTACCATCATGATTTTTTGCGAAAAATGGAAAAAATAAAAAATTTCCAGGTTGAAATGCCAATCGATTGCGAATTTAATTACGAGCTCAAAAAGGTATGACATTCCGTTCTAGGACCATTATTTCCATTGTTCTGGCCAAAATACTGATTGTTTTTGGAGCACAAAATCAGGATCTTGATTTTTGGTAAAAATGTGATTTTTTTGTTCTAGATATTTTGCTGTAACTTGGTCAAAAATGGTCCCACATCAAAAAGACGCACTGTTTTGAGCAGCTTACGACCTTATAATTAATATCAGTGCACTTTCCGACTGATTTGGAAAAATTAATTTTTGACCAAATTTTCGCAATTTTGATAAGGGGTACCATCATGATTTTTTGCGAAAAATGGAAAAAATAAAAAATTTCCAGGTTGAAATGCCAATCGATTGCGAATTTAATTACGAGCTCAAAAAGGTATGACATTCCGTTCTAGGACCATTATTTCCATTGTTCTGGCCAAAATACTGATTGTTTTTGGAGCACAAAATCAGGATCTTGATTTTTGGTAAAAATGTGATTTTTTTGTTCTAGATATTTTGCTGTAACTTGGTCAAAAATGGTCCCACATCAAAAAGACGCACTGTTTTGAGCAGCTTACGACCTTATAATTAATATCAGTGCACTTTCCGACTGATTTGGAAAAATTAATTTTTGACCAAATTTTCGCAATTTTGATAAGGGGTACCATCATGATTTTTTGCGAAAAATGGAAAAAATAAAAAATTTCCAGGTTGAAATGCCAATCGATTGCGAATTTAATTACGAGCTCAAAAAGGTATGACATTCCGTTCTAGGACCATTATTTCCATTGTTCTGGCCAAAATACTGCTTGTTTTTGGGGGAAAAAATTAGGATCTTGGTTTTTGGTAAAAATGTGATTTTTTTGTTCTAGATATTTTGCTGTAACTTGGTCAAAAATGGTCCCACATCAAAAAGACGCACTGTTTTGAGCAGCTTACGACCTTATAATTAATATCAGTGCACTTTCCGACTGATTTGGAAAAATTAATTTTTGACCAAATTTTCGCAATTTTGATAAGGGGTACCATCATGATTTTTTGCGAAAAATGGAAAAAATAAAAAATTTCCAGGTTGAAATGCCAATTTCCATTGTTCTGGCCAAAATACTGCTTGTTTTTGGGGGAAAAAATTAGGATCTTGGTTTTTGGTAAAAATGTGATTTTTTTGTTCTAGATATTTTGCTGTAACTTGGTCAAAAATGGTCCCACATCAAAAAGACGCACTGTTTTGAGCAGCTTACGACCTTATAATTAATATCAGTGCACTTTCCGACTGATTTAGAAAAATTAATTTTTGACCAAATTTTCGCAATTTTGATAAGGGGTACCATCATCATTTTTTTCAAAAAATTTCAAAAATTAAAAATTTTCAGGTTGAAATGCCAATTGATAGCGAATTTAATTACGAACTCAACAAGGTATGACACTCCGTGTTTTGACCTTATTTAGGTGCATTTCGGCTTACAAAATCGATTTATTAGGTTGAAATTACTCGTGTAAAAGTTTTAGGTTTTTGATAAATAAAGAAATTTATTTCTAAATTCCGAAAACCAGTAGGCCACGCAATGATCTTCACATGGACTTAGCCGTCAGCAGGGGACATTCGTTCAGTTTTGGGGCCAATCTCACATAGAGCAGTTCGGGAAACTAGCTAAAATTCAAAATTTGTCCGTGTGGATAACTCTGTGTTTTTTCACCCTTTTTTTGCCGTTCATCGTTTTCCGTTTTTACCGCCGCCGCCGCCATATCGCCAAATAGCCATCGTCATGAACACTCTTAAGTCGGACGACAAGCCCTTCAATCCCTTCTACATTGGCCCGCATCCCAGCAAGGCCTGTGCGATCCCCGAGATTCCCGGCCGTCAATGTTCGCCCAGCTGCCAGCCGCCGGAGGGCCAGGCGGCTGCAAGTTCCGCACCTTCAGATGGCCATCAGCCGACGGATGCCCAGAGCGTCCCGAGCGGAGCTGCGGGCGGCATGCTAATCGTGGGCGTGGCCAATATATACAGCACAGTGGAGGTCCTGGCTGCCGCCGCTCGAATGGGAGAGGCGGGCGGAACGGGGGCGGCAGGAGCGGCTCATCAGGCTCCTTCGGCGCCCAACAAAACCATATGCAAGCCGTATCCCTGCATGGAGGGCGCTCGCACTGAAAGTCCTGGCTGTGATTAAAACCGGAGGAAATTCACGCAGGATCAACGATCAATCAGGACTACTTCTACCTAAATTAGCCCCAAATACTTGAATAAAAACTAGGAAAATCCAAAAAAAACGGAAAACATTTCTTTATAATTATTTGTACTTTGTTGCCAAATGAGAGTGATTTTAAAAAATATTCCAAATTATTTGAAGAGTCACTTGGGACGCAATTGACTATCAGAAAATAGAACATAAATAATTTCGCAATTTCCCACTTAGTATTTAAGCCAATTTAATTGTGTTCTTTCTTCCATTTTGATATCGATTTGAGCTCTTTTTTTAGCGTAAGTACTGAGCCTTGCCAACAAAGAAAATCATTTATTTTGCCCTTCCTTCGCTGCCTGTTAACCGTTCAACAACAATAAACGATTCGAGTGGAATCCCATTTGGGGAGTATTATTTTTGAAAGAATTTCGCTCGCACATTTGCAAGCCGTTGCGATGGTTTTCATCTGGAGCTGCAGCTGCATCATTTATGGTTCGATGGCAACTGGCAAATGGATCAGGAGCAGCAGAGGCAGCCGAGGCAGCAGAACAGCTTCCACATCCAACCATCCAACTTTTGGGGCCAGGAGAACAGCGGTGCGTTCGGATTGGAGAGTCTATCGAACGTATTGCTTTTGCAAATTCAATGAAGTAAAAATTTATTATTTATTGATAGACTTATGCAAGTGCACAACAGCGCAGGAGGAGCAGCTACAAGGAGCTGAACACTTTATGCCCTCAACCTTGCCACGAACCACGACCCACGACCACCAGTGCTGCCAAGTTGGATTTGTAATCCTTAAAGATTGAAAATGGAATATGTTTCAAAATATTTTATGATCATCTGTGATGTGGCATTTAAGCAAAAAGCCATTTATTCACATTCATTTTAGGTTTTTAATAAAAGTTCGGAAACGAGTTAAGAAAAAATCTAATTCTTTGACTGAAAATTCCAGTGTTGCTACGTTCGACTTTTATTTTCGCTTAAAATTTAAATGAAAAAATTATTCAAAATATTATGTGATTATTTGGGGTGTGGAGAACATTCAAAATATTTAATGACTACCTTTAGGCAGAAATCAATTTTATTTTTAAAGCCAGGCATCGTTCCTTTTGGAATTCAACTAAAACCTATTTTTTAGTCTTAAAATTCCTGTAAATCGTAGCTAAATACTTTTCAATAACTTCATTTTTCTATAGGAATGGCATACCCATTGAGTACATCGTTCACATGTGAAAATGCGTGGATTTTCACTCGTCCTGGTACTTGGCAAAATTGCAGTCGATGCTGCCTTTGCTCTTGCTTTCTTTGGCAGCACCTGTTTGCCAAATGATTTATGCATTTCACCCATTTTGCCGTCGACGTTTCAGGTGCAACAAAACTAGCAAACAACTGCAAATGCAACTGCAACCCGACGGCGATGAGGCAATAGCAACAACGCTTAATGTGATTTTCTTGTTAAATGCAAGTCGAGTTGCTCTGCTCGCGAAGAAAAATGGAGCACTTTGCTGCCAGTTTTTATTTGCCGTTGTCGCTGTCGAACCCCTTAATAGTCGTTAGTTTGTTAAGCTTTTAAGCTACCCCCGGTTTTTTGAGTTTGCCGTAAAAACATTTTACAATTGCCATCCGAAAATTAGAGAGTTGGGAGTTATTTCAGTTTAATTTAAGTGAATGAGTTCGATTATATGCTAAGAAAAGCATTTAGCTAACTAAACGAATTTATTTTGGACTTGATGAAACTCGATGGACTAAATATAATTTATTTATAAGATTTCTTGGTAGTATCAATAGTTACGTTTTTAATTTATTCAGTTGATTTTCCGTATTTAAATGGGTTAAAAATGGAAAATCATATTTTCGGATGGCTTTAAAATCAAATTACCGAAAAATCGATCATACGCACTGTGTGCAGGCAAAAGAAAACTTAAAATCCGACTCCCATTTCAGCAATTCCATTTTCAACTGTCAACAAATCGAGTGCAGAAAAGAAAGAACAACAACAACAATATGGTGAAGGAGAAACTTAATTTATTGAAATGTCCGGAAATGTAAGCATTAAAAGCGCCGCACGACGAATGGAAAACAAAGCATAAATATCTATTAAAATGAGATTGAAATAAATTACAATTTGTAGGGGGGAAGTCGTGGGGAAATGGGCCTGCGACACGCCAACCCAAGCCATTTAATGCCGACATCTCCCATCCTCTCCCATTTTCCTCCCCGATTTTCCTCTCCGATTTTCCCCACTATCCCCCACATTCCCATTCGATTCCGAAGGTCAGGTGGCAGTCTCCTCGCTTCTTGAGCAAAAACTGGAGTGCAGGGCAAACACTTCTCCGATGGCAATGGTCGATGGTCGATGGTCGAGGAGCAGCCATGTGAACATGGGGGGAAATTAAGTGCAAGGATCCATGGATCCATGGCCATGGAAGCCGGAGGACAACAAAAGGACTCGCATACTTAGACGCACTTGAGCGTGGGGCACGGGGCATGGGGCATGAAAAATGGCAGCAGCACCGCCGAACGGCAGAGGAAATGAAGCTGAACTTTATTATAACAATACACAATAATCGTGTGCGAGCTGCGTCTCAAGTTTCCTCCTTCGTCCTGATTTTCCGCCATGATGGAGTGCTGCGGAAAAAGGAAAAGGGAAAGCGGATATGCCGCTCGAAAGGTAAACTGCAATGGAAGCCAAACCGCACAGAATTATGATGAAAACAAATACAAATCTCTTGAATGCCACCCCGCTTTGTAAAAGTGGTTATTATTTTAGGATTTAATAAAAAAATTTATTTTTGTATTGAAAAAAAATTTTTTGACATGGAATTATTTTGTAAAAAATAAGGAAAAATATATTTGTATTAATATTCTATTTATTTAAAACCGTATTATTTTATACAAATTTAATTAGCCTCTTTGTCGTATTTTATATCAATGATTCCTGTTGGTTCTGGACTTCCACAATTTTTCATGTTCTCCGCGTGCTTGCTAATCGATTGGGAATAGCAGCTAGAATTTCTCCCAGTGCAGGCACGTACATTGCACGCCAAGGCGCTTAACTAAACAAGCTGAAGACGTGCAGTCAGGCGGGAAATGCAGAAATGCAGCAATGCATTCTCTTCGCTCCTGCGGTTGAATATCCTGTGGCTGCGGTGCTCCTTCGTCACGAAATCCTAGTAAAATATCAAGCAAGGACCTCCTCGCACTCGCGACTTCCTGGACTCCCGCTCGCAAATCCATAAGTATGCGCAATATTCAAACGGGAAGGTAAAAGGAAATTGGATTTTTGTTGACATTATTTTATAAAAAATATCCGGAGTCCCCCCCAACAACAATGGACTTTGGCGTCGTCAGTGTCAGTTTGGTCAGAGAAATGCTCAACTCATCGAATGTTCCAGCCCCCTCGGAAAATTCAACAATTTTCCTCCTGGCATCGGCATCTGCTGGTTTTTCACCCTGTTTTCCTCTTTACCCCGCACGTGTGTGAGTTGGCAAACATATTTTGATTTTGCATAATAAATGGCGTTCTGTGTGCGAACGGCCAAGACAAAGTGGTAGCAAAAGAGAGCTAACAAATCGAAAGCAGGGATACCCTTTTAAAAATAAATCTAAAGTTTTAGTTTTAGCAATCAGCAGGAAATATTTGTATTTTTAATTATTTATTCAGGCGATTATAATTAAATTGAATTATCTTTGAATGAAAGTTTTCTTTATTAATTATTATTTTTTATTTTTGCATATATTATTTATATTATTTACTCTATTTTACAACCTGGGACTTTTGATCCCTGGGTATTTACCAGTCGTTACAACCATGCCTCCCCTTTTATTTTTAGGCGACTTGGGTTTTTCTGCTCTCGCCATTGAGAAATTGCAGCGCAAATGCACTTTGTATGCCGGTGCATCTGTTGAAAGCAGAAACCAATCAAATTTCCATGTTTGATATATTCCATATGAAAAATTGTGTTGCATATGCTTTACTTATTTTTCCCTTTTTTTTTGGAGAAAGGGTTTATTTCTTTTTTTTTGTAAGCTGCAGATGAACTGACAAACACACGCAACGTGGAAAAAAACCTAGGTGGTGCGGCTAAGTGGATGGCTGATTTGGGGGTCGACTGGGTGGTTGGGCGGTTCAGGTGGCTGGGTTTTTTTCGGTCTCGAGAGGCAACAGAATGTAAAACAAATCGCCGCCGGCATTGGACGCTGATGAGGTTGGTTATCGCAGTGGCGCAAAGGTAATGACACGCCCACAAACCCAACACCGCACTCATCCACGCAAATATGTAAATACAGTGGTGGCGCAAAGAAGGCGTACACCTCATTACATTTTTAAAAATTTCTAAGAATTTAAATTATTATTTCAAATATTCAAATCACATTTAAACCTTCTGCAAATTCCAGCTTATCGAAGTAATCAAGTTAGTGACAATACAGCCATAAATAAATAGGATTTAGCAATGACAATGGAACCCTTAAGCCCACTTAAACCTTTAAGTTTTAGGGGCTTAGACGAGCGGAAGGCAGGCAGGCAGGCAAATTTCATTTGAAGCCCCTAAAAAATCATTTCATTTCTCTGTCATTTTTTGCGGTCTTACTTTTGGCACTCAGTGTGGGTCTGTGGGTGGTGGGTGATAGGTGGCTTGGCTTGGCAGCCGTCAAAGTGCAAAATATGGGGCTCAAGCATCATCAGGATTCCTCTGGCCGGGCCACACAAACACATGGTTGTAAAGTTGCTCAGGATGCACGTGAGTTGCTGCAATCTGTGGCACACTTTTCGCTTTTCCATCCCCCCACTCCGCCCCCTATGGGGTTTTCCGCCGAGAGAGGGGGGAAAATGGGAAGGTGGACCTGAAATAACAGCAGCTGGAATGCAACCAACCAACGAACCAAGTCAGCTAACTGTTTTCATAACCCCAACTGGATAACATCCGTACACTCAAAGAAATTTGTCAATGATGTAAAAAATTTATGAATTATTATAGACTGCACGCTTTGCCTAATTATTTCTGAATTAAGGTTTTTTTTTAGATTTTTATGTCAACCGTTTTGTGGTTGTTTTGGCTACTTTCCGTTTTTTTCTGAGAAATTTTATAGA